ACAAAGAAAAAACCGCTAAATGAAAATGACGCGTTGCGTGCATATTATGGGTACTGTGTTACTGTGTTAGTGTGTTGTTTGTGTGTACCGCGTGTTGTGTCGCCTGCCGCCGTGCTAAAACGTAAAGTTTGGTATCAGCGCTATGGCGATAACGGCAGCGTATGCGCCTATCAGAGGCCAGGGCTACATGACCACATTATTATTATCAAGTTATTAATAGCTTATATTATCATATTATGATGATTGTAAAAGCTAAAATGTAAACATGATATTTAGCATTAGCAATATTATAGTTAATTTAATAGTTATTATACAAGGAATATTTTTAACCACGCACTATACGTATTTTATATTTTCCTTTTATTCATTTATTTCTCTAATACTATATTAGTAAAACATAAAAAATGTGTATCATATATTTATGTTAAATAAAGCAAATAAAAATAAATAAAATAAATGGAAAATTACGTACCAAAAAAATATAAAAATACCTTACTATCGGAAATAATGGATCGCCAATATCAACAGTTTCTAGACAAACCAAGTGGTTTAGAAGATGACAGGTAAATATAATTGATTTTTTTTTTAATTGTTTGTAGTTGTATTTCATAAATATTGTATAGTACATATCTTAGGTATAAGATGATGTCTAAAGGGTCATAACCTCATTAAATTGTGTGCACAAATATTTATTACCTATTTGGTATTCTGTTTGTTTTATGTAAGCTCAGGAAGATAATTTGAGAACTGCGCCTAACCAAATGTTACTAGCAGTTGCAGATGATGCTCCCAATAATCTTAATGATTATTGTAACTTAAACATCAATTCAATCATTAAAGTGAATCATGAAGTAAATTATATTATTTATTAATTTAATTTTATAAATAGGTACTGCTCACCCAAAAACATTGATATAGGTGTATTTCTCAGTTATTTTTATTTATTACCAATTTATAATAACTATAAATTTACATTTTTAACATTATGTTTAGTTGTTTAGTATTTTTATAATCTGTAAACAACATGATAATGCTAAAATGCCTAAATATTTTATTCTTTAATTCTTTCAAATTGAGTATATTATCTACTAGTAGATAGCTATCATCTACTTATAGTTTAATACTAAGTATAATTCTTTATATACAATTTAAATTATTCACAAGCAAATTTTGAGGTATTTTGAATTCAACTTTTTATTATTTGTGTAGTAATAAATAATATAAAATGTTCCTATTTATAATTTTACAGCCTAATAGAAATCATACAGATGGTTCTGTAGATCTTTTAACAGTAGATATGGACATTTCTGAAAGAGTTTTATATAACAATACTATGCTAGTTGATGAAAATATTGAAGATTATGATAATGCAAAGCAGGAATTTTTGGTAATAAAATGCATAAATATTTTGATGTATTCAGATCCACATGATAAATTATAAAATGTACGTTTTTAAAATATGTTGAATAGGACAATAGTGATATTGCAGATGAAACCACCACACATTTTAGTAATAGCAAAGTAACAACTGAGGAAAGTGAACTACTTTTTCTTACATTTGCGTTGCGTCACAAATTGACAAGTAGAGCACTAGAAGATTTGATTGATTTAATTAATTGTCATACACCTGATCATCCTATACATCAATCTAAGTATTGTTTATTGAAAAAGTTTACTGAAGTAATTACTCCACCTGAAGTACATTACTTCTGTGAAAAATGTCAAGCCATTCTCCCTAATGACAATTCAAATGAAGACACCATGGGTGTGATAAAATGCACTCAATGCTATTTTGAAAATATTTTCAAACATTTAAAGGACACTTCATGTTATTTTTTAACACTTCCATTAGGCGTTCAATTAAAAAAAATACTAGAGTCTAATACTGGTAGTAAGTTGAACTGGGAAAGTAATGTAAGTGATGTAAGAAATGGCACATTTTACAAAACATTAAAAGAGAAAAATGACAGTAACAATTGTAAGTATTTGACCATTCAATGGAATACAGATGGTATTCAAGTTTTTAATTCATCAAAAATGTCTGTATGGCCAATTCAACTGATGCTTAATGAATTACCCTATCATGAATAGAGAGAAAATATAATTCTTGTTGGACTTGGGTTTTCACCTACAAAACCCGATATGAACACATTTTTATCACCATTCGTCCAAGAATTGTGTAAGCTTCATGATGAAGGAATAGACATTCAGATTCTAGGTCATAATAGTCCAACTAATTTCAAAATATACACACTTATTTCATCTGTGGACTCTGTAGCCAGACCGATGATTCAAAGAATTAAACAATTCAATGGAAAATTTGGTTGTTCATACTGTCTCAATGAAGGGGTTATCCGAGATGTAGGACGATGATCCTGTCGAGTGTATTTAGGTGACGTTGGACCAAAAAGAACACTAGAACAACATATTGCTGTTTTTGCAACATGCAATTCTATAGATCAATTAGCAGTTGATAGTATAAATGGAGTGAAAGGAACATCAGTTGTATTACTATTAGATGATACCTTTCATATAATCGATAGTCTTGTTCCTGATTATATGCATTGTGTATTATTAGGAGTGGTTGAAACGTTTTTTGAAGCGTGGTTTGACTCTTCTTCATTCGAAAATGAATGGTATTTTGGTAGACACGTTAAAGAATTTGACTATCGCTTAATGAATATTAATCCCCCTTCAGAAATAACAAGAATGCCTAGAAGTATAAATGATCGAAAACAATATAAGGCATCTGAGTGGCAAACCTTGTTACTGTATTATTCATCAGTATGTTTAAAAGGCCTATTACATCAATCTTATTATCAACATTGGACTCTTTTGGTATCAGCAATTTATGGTTTGTTAAAAGATAACTGTACTGCTCAAGAAATTATCAACTCTGAGAATTGTTTAAAAAAATTTGTTTTTGAAATACCAAATCTATATGGTGAGAATTTCATGAAATTTAATGTTCACCTACTGCTACATCTTTCAAGTTATGTGAGAAGATGGGGATCACTCTGGGCTTGGTCTGCGTTTCCTTATGAACATTACAATGGAGTGATAGGAAACTTTTTCCGTGGTACGCAATGTGTTCCACGGCAAATTTTCAAGACTTACCAATTTAAAACTACTATGAATATTATGATTTCAAATATGCAAGCAGCAAAATCTCATCAAAAATCTATTAACCCTCGGATTTTAAATCAGTCACGTAACAAATGCAACTTGTCTAGATTTAAAACTTACTACATTTGGAGTACCAGAAGTAATAATATTACTAACATTGACAATACGTCAGAAATTATGCATAGAAAACAAAACCGGTATACAACTAATAGAAAATGGTTCAATTAAAATTAACACTTACAAAAGATTTATAACTAACGGAATGCTTATTCATACAACAACATATAAACGGTTAAAAAAAAGAGATAACAGTAGTCTTTACCTTCAGGATGGAAAATTTGTGGATGTCACTGATTTTTTATCAATATTGGTTCCTACTAATGAAAACAATAGTACCTACTCTGAAAAACATATTACTTGGAAACGAACTAACTCCAATTAGTAATAATAATCATAATTCTAATATCCATGATACAATGACCAAAAATTTAGCTATAATCACTGAATAAAGTAATAATATAATATGTTTTTATCCAGAAGAAATTGTAAGTAAGTGTGTAAGAATATCCTACAATAACAGTGTATATATAAAACCTATTGTTAACAAGTTTGAGAGGGATTAAAAGATTGTATAACATGAGAGAGAGAGAAAGAGTACTAGCTGGCCCATATTTATATATACATATATTTAATTATATTTGGATTATAATTATATAATGTTTTAATAAAAAGTATAAATTGTATTTTATTATGTATGTTTTTTTTTTATATAATTTACATTAATAAAAAAAGTGCATTTGATTCATGAGTGTATTATATTTTATGCTTTATAGGTATTTCAATATAAAATTGTTGATGTTATATTCGAAACAATAAATATATATTTACATAATGGCTGTCTTGCAATATGAACCAAACACAATCCATATACAACTCATTTAAGTGCAAATAGATTAATAATTAAAAATGTTTGTTCATTTGATTTGAACAATTATTTTAATATAAATTTAAAAAAAGGTTATATTTAAATTAAGTACATTAATATTTTGTAACGATAAGACAATTTGACTTAAGTAATAATAATTATATGTTATTATATTTTTCAGAATCATTAAAATAATATTAGTTAAAAAAAAAAAACAGTTGATAATTTTAAAAATCAATATTTTGTAATTTGTATTGAGTACTTAGTACCTTAAAAACTTAATAACAAATCTGAAAGTTCATTATCAATTAAATTATAATAGTGGTTATGTATTATACCAGATAGTAAAATTGATTTTTGTGTAGTTGGCTATCAAAAAAATAATTTCATTGCAATATTATATTATAATTTAATGAACACCTTCAATTTATATAATTATATAGGTATAAAAATGAATATAATGTATTAGTTGATATCCTGATAAAATGATAGCTAGATGGATAAATGGACTATAATGACTAGTAGGTAGTAGGTACTACCAAAGAATAGATTAAATACTATGGTATACCTACTACCTACAGTATATATATGTTACGGTCAATGATGAAAATTGAATATTTACGTCATTAACCCGCCATTAACGTTAGAAGCCAATTCGCTAGGTTATTTTCGTTAACTACCGGGTAATAACGTCAGTATCCAAGATAATAGGTTATTGTTGTGAATTACAAAATAAAATAAAACAATTTTACCTCAATGACCGAATCTTAACGTTATTAACCATTGACTGTTGGTCAATTACGTAAATAAAAAATACACTTCAATTTAATTAATAACAGACTACACTGATTAATATTTAATATTTAATCTTATTATTAATTATTATTTTTATTAAATTATAATATTTATTTATATTTATTTTTTTATTACTAATAATATATTATATTTATTATTTATTTTCGCAAGGCATGCTGTTGTGGCATTTTGAATTACACAATATTCCCGCTGATCGACAAATGCATTTGTTTGTTCTGCACTTTAGTTTGCAATTGCACCTTCTGTAACCTTGGGATCCAGTGACACTATTAAAACCTGCAGCTTCTCTCAGCGTAATTTCTTTTTCGGTTTTTACAGATTTCAAATCAACGAAACTCTCTTTGCAAGGATCAATCTGCGATCGAGTATACATGTGTTTAATAATGCCGTTTTCCGTACCTAATTAAAGATAAGCATTTATAAATTCAAATAAATATATCTAAATAATATAATTTATAAGTAGGTACCTACCTAATTTATATAAATCGTCTTCAACCTGGGTAATAACTGCTAATAAATTTCGTGGTGATCCACGTGCTCGATCAACACCAGGTATTGAAACCTTAACTGCGGTACCAACCTCTAGTAGACTAAATTTCTTATTTGAAATAGTCACCATTTTTTTGGCTTGTTTTTTAAGGCATTCACTTGATTTAAGTCGTTCATTCTGTATTTGCTCATGACGTTGGCAATTCATGCTATTTGTACTTTCATTGTCAGCTTCCAGGGAAATAAAACATGTTTCACACTTTCTTAGGTTTGTATCTATAATATATTTAAATAATAATATTATTATTTAGAATTTAAAATGTAATATATAATATTAATTTACCTGTATCTATCATATTTTCTTGGTGTTCTGAAATTGGTGAAACAACTTCTTCAATATTTTGTGCTGAATCATGTAATCTAGTTTCTTGCATTTGATTAAACAATTCTTCTATATCTTCTTCTGTTTTTAATGAAATTATTTTATCATTTGGTAGACCAATCGATAATAGTCCTGTTTTGGCAGTACAGCCGAGCATGGCTTCATAAGGAGATCTTCCAATACCTTAAAAAAGTACTACAACATATCCTCTACATCTCTATATTTGCTCGTTCCACAGAACCTTGGCTCTGGCTGTGCCTCGGTTTACCGTGAACAATTTTTACGTCTTCCCACATATTGTGTAGTTCAGTTATAGTCGAATTTACGAATTCACGGCCATTATCTGACTGCAAAATAGCCGGTGCGCCAAAGGTCGTGTAAATGTCAAGTAAATTATATGCGATCTCCTCTGCACGTTTACTTTTTAAAGGCCTTAAAATTACGAATTTCGTTAAATGGTCTTGATAACAAAAAATAAACCGAAAATCGTTAAAATGTTGGGACTGCATATCTATTAAATCTACTTGTGCTCTCGAGTTAAAAGCATTGTGTAATATTGGTTTGGAAACCAGTCCTCTTTTTCTATTAGTAGATTTCTTTTGGCAGTGTGAACAAAGTTGTAAATATAGCATAATTGTTTCCTTAGTTATATTACAATACTTAATTTTTATTTCCGCAACCATTCGATTTCTCCCACCGTGTCCAATAGATGAATGAGTAGTATGAAGAATATCAAAAAGCTCTTCATTTGATACATAATAAAGCATAATATTATTACTTTCTGATACTAGTTTTATCAATCGTTCTTTTCCATTAACCATTAATATTTCGTACTTGCGAACCATCCTGTAATCTTTTACCGATTTTTTTAATCCCTTAGTACTTAATATTTTTTTCGATTCTTTAACTTTGGAAATTTGGTCACTATACTCCGATAAATTAAAATAGGAATTATTGTCAGTCCGTTTTTGACTAATCAACTTATTAAATAAATCGTAGAATTTACTACGCATAGTATCTACATCCATATTTAATATTTTATGTAAATAAAAAGTAAATATTTAACAATGCAATAAAACGTGAACTGGTGAACTGCGAAATGGCGAACTAGCGAATTACGAATTGTCGAACTGTCGAACTGCGAATAAAGCGATTTGAAACGAATACGTACCTATAATACGAATGTGTCTGCAACGAAACTGAAATAGCTAAAATACGTTATGGGAAAAAAATCCAATAAAACAAATTACCTACCTTTGATAATTTGTTAGATAATTACGGCATTTTAACTAAGCTATCAGCTATATATTAACAAGTTGACTGCCGAGCCATTTTTATTATAATGGTTCTTAGCGCCGTGAGTACCATAATTGGTATTCAACAATACTTATAACTACGCCAAGGCAAATTTTACAGATTTATCAGGTGGGCCTTGGGTATTTTTCAGAGAAATCTAATWATATTTTTGTCGTAATCATTTATTATTATACTACTGATTATAAATAAAAAAAAAAATAAAAATCGGAGTGAGTACAATTTTAGGTATTCAATGCCTATTATATCATAAATTCCTACTCCCGATTACGTTATGGCCACGTGCATGTGCGTATATCGACTTAAAATAGACTATAATATGAAGTTTTCCTTGTAAACTGATAAATATCATTATATCACAATATTGTCGGGACAACAGCAGTGAAGGCTTTAGTATCGTCGCCATCCTAGTGTGATTTTGATCAAATTACATCAATTATAAAGAAATGGCTGAACAAGCTGGAAGACAACATGCTCAAAAGATTACACGTAGAGTTCAGACTAAATGTACCAAGTGTTTAAAATATTTTTGTCTAGAATGTTTTTTTAAGACCCATTCATGTAAATTATTGTAAAATCCAATTAAATTTAAATTAAACTTTGCTATTAACATCATTTTATAGAATTTTTTCTGTACTTTTCATTTCAATGGCTAAATTGAGTACCAAATACGGTCTTCAATAGTTTAACACATGTTAAAAGTGAGTACCAATTTTGGCATTCAATGCCTGAGAAATAAGTTAAGTGAATACCAGGATTGGTACTCAAAGCGTGAGTGACAAATAACTTRAAAATAGTATGGCGTAGATAACAAAACTAATGAGTACCAATAATGGTCTTCATGGCAGTCAACTTGTTAATATTATTATGGTTTTCTCGACTAACTATCGGCTATCGCTGATTATCGATGATATATATATATAAATAATACATACTAACGTAGTTCCTAACGGACCTAACGTGTGTAGATAGATAACTGACAATTAACAGTGACCCGTATGTTATAAATGTATAAAAATGTATAATTTACAACAACGTCCAACAGAAGTTGGGAATTGACGTAAATAATAAAAAAATACCCGTGTTTACAACATTAACCATTATGTATCGCCATTTACGTAAATTTGTATTGTACAAGGTAATTTTCGACATTGGTCGGGCTTTAACGTAAATATCATCATTTTCGTCATTGACCGTAACATATATATGAATATACAGGACTGTAATGTTCATGACAAGGTTGGAGGGTGTGGGGGGTTGACCACGAAATGTAATTAATACACGGCTTCTAATTATAGCCGTGATGAAATACAACAGGCGGAGTTCGGRGGAATATTTTCCTTTTAGCATTACTAGCGCCGTCTTAGTCGATACTTTTGGAACTAATAATAATATGATC